GTAACTGACTTTGTTGTAAGAATTAGTTCTTGTAGGTTTGAAGGAAAGGAGGCTTTTCTAACGTTGCTTCATATAAGATTTTAGTTGTTCGACGTTTTGAGCCTTGTAATCCTAATTTATGATGAGCACTCGTTATTTGCAGTCACCGAGCGTTCTGGGCAGCAGGCGAGACTTTTCATCACCTGAACAGTCCCACGTTGTTCTCATTTGTGTCTTTTTAAAGTAGCAAGGCCTCCTGTGAACAAACGTGAATAATATGCTCTAAAATCAGATCATATTTTTATAATTACATGGTTTTAAAGCACTTTTTCAACATGTGCAACAACTTGGTACAGTCACGTTTTGTTAACAAGACAGATCTTTTACTGTTTTTTTTGTTATTTTCCAGCAGAAGGCAACACTTTTGATTCCCAAAAAGGATTTTAAGATTTTGATTCATGCATTTTGGAATTTACAACAAGTAGTGTTCAGTAAAAGTAGACCTGGCTCGTAGTGATTTCTGCCACGTTACTTGTTTCCATTTTAAATTCAGTGCTTCCTGCAGACCGAATGGTGACGAGGATCAATTTACAGCTCAAAGTTCGTCTTTAAACTGCTGCAAAACGATCAAAATCTGTACCTGATGAGGAACGTTATACTTTAAACTGGTTAAAATGTGGCATTTTTAATTCTGAAAAACATCTGGGCTGCTCTTTTTAAAACACATTTTTGCTCACCTTGTATAATATGAAATTACTGTTATAAAATAAGTTTGGCTAAATATTTCTAGCATTTTTGCCTCTGTGTAAAATCCTTTAATTACTTCATTTTGAGCATATTACTAAATTATCATCATCAACAACAGTATAATAAATATTCCTCTCAGCAGATTACACTCTGTTTAATTAAGCAGAAAAAAAACAACTAAATGACACTTTTATTACCACTTTATGTATAACGCACTTAAAACAACAACAAGGCCAACCAAAGTAATGGATATGAATACTTATAATAACTGTAAAGTGTAAATAATAATTGTATATTTGTATAAAATACAGGATCCAAGACTTATTTAATAGAAAACAAAAAAACTATAACTAAAATAGGACCTAAAAATGATCTATTATCAAAAACAGTTGAAACTACAAGTACAATTCTTACTTTTGGTGTGACTTAAATATAACATATATATATATATATATATATATATATATATATATACTGAACGATAGATGAAATGCACGTGATAATGACTGAAATGTCAAAGTAATTACTCACAGGTGAGTTGATGAAGAAAGTCTCAGTAAACACCTCAAACAGCTGTGAAGATAAATAAAGAGAAAGAGGGCGATACCGGAAGTCATAGTCTACCTTCAAATTAAAGGTGCAAATTAAAAGCGAAGACAGGTTGCTTGGATTTGATTCTAGTTTATCCAGTTTAGTTCACAACTATAAATTATCACGTTCATACTATATATATATATATATATATTTATACATCCTTGACAGCGATACGCTTCCAATTTGGTCTTGAGGTAGGTTTGCTCGAAAAAAGATTATATGAAATAAATATGTGAGTTGTAATTATATAATATGTAACCGAGGAGGAAACAGCAGCTATGGTCTAATAAGAGCTAGTATAGATAAACTAGTCATAGGAACACTTGTAAAATAATATCAAGCTAAACAAACCAATTAAACTAATTATATCAAAATCAAAAATACTCAAGTTACAAACCTTTCAACTAGCTGCTAGTCTTTTTGACTAGCTAACTGCACTAACAATAATTTTAACTAGTGTATATTGCTTTATTGTTAACATATATACATATATATATATATATATATTGTTCAGAAAAAGGTAACCATTAGCATGTGTTGCACATGGAGATTTTAAACTAGAACAGAATTAAAACTGAATGTTAGCCCAGTGGGCAAGTTTTGTCTAAAAGTTAGCTCATTTTATCTTTAACCCACTTTGGGCTAAAGGTTAGCCAAGTATCTCGGGGTTCGGTTCATGAGTGAGGGAAGAATGGAGCATGAGACCGACAGACAGATTGGTGCAGCATCTACAGTATTGCGGACTCTGTGCCGGTCCGTTGTGGTGAAGAGGGAGCTGAGCTGTAAGTCAAAGCTCTCTGTTTACCGGTCAGTCTACGCTCCTACACTCGTATGGTCACGAGCTCTGGGTAGTGACCGAAACAATGAGATCGTGGATACAGGCGGTGGAAATGAGTTTCCTCCGCAGGGTAGCTGGACTCTCTCTTAGAGACCGGGTGAGAAGTTCATTTATCCCAGAGAGACTCGGAGTAGAACCGCTGCTCCTCCACATCGAGAGGATCCAGTTGAGGTGGTTCGGGCATGTCCAACTGGGAGGAGACCCCGGGGAAGACCCAGGACATGCTGGAACTCTCAGTTGGCCTGGGAACCTTTTGGAGTCCTCCCATAAGAGCTGGAAGAGGTGGCTGTGGAACGAGATGTCTGGACCTCCCTGCTCAAGATGCTGACCCCACGACACAACTTCGAAGTAAGCAGAAGATAATGGATGGATGGTTAGCCAATAGGCTAGCTTTCAGTTTTTACTAACCATGTTCATGCTTAATTTTTGAACAGCATTGTAGCGTATGCTTGAAATAAAATAAAAGTATGTTATATGTAATTTTTTATCAATTTGCATTGCTTATAGCTTATAGTTAGGCCAACATGAGCTGCTTGACTTTTTACATTCCTGCTTTTATCAGAGTCAGAGCGATTTGTTTGTCATTCGCATCTCATGCGGTGGAACGAGATTATGTACGCAGGGTCCCAGTCACATCCAACAATAAAACGTAAAGGAAAAAACAGCAATAAGATCTAAGTTTTGAACTAAACACATCAGCTAAATAAATATACACTAAGCACTAATAGCATAAAAACATTACGTCGAACAATTTTATTTTGTTTCCTTTATAATATTTCACCTTTAACACATGTTTTTTTTTTAAACAAACTTGTTAACAAATTTTATTTAATTTCTCTCTGCGTTTAATAAAGTATTTATAATGTTTTTTTTTTTTTTTTATTTAGACACCCTGGAGACGCTACCGGAAGTAGTGTTTCCCCTCACTGTGGTTAGCTTCACGCGCCGCCTGCTCTCTCTCCAACCAGCAGCGCCACAACAGCTGGGGGAGGATTTCCGACCCAGTCACAACGAAGATGGTGGCGGTTAAAGGAAGGATTAAAGAAGAAGGATAAAACTCCCGTTTTCCATGTGTCAGTTGGACCCGAACTCCGTTTGAAAGCTGTCGGTGGGGGGGGGGGGGGAAAGGGTGGCAACCAGCGGCGGACGGAAGAGGACGCACCACGGCCGGAGCGCGCACACAGTGTTGTGTTTGTTGGACACAAGCATGCCAGCGACTCCAAACCTGAGCAATCGGCTACGACAAGGAGATAATGAGCGATTTTTGATGATCTAAAGGAGGGGGGGGTCCAGCTGCTCTGTGGAGTTTCTTGTTTTTGCTCCAAGGGAACGCGCGAGGAGGAAATCCAAGCTCAGCTCCAAATAAGCAGAGTCTGAACTCGTCTCTAAACGCAGGAAATACGGCCTGGAAAAGAAAAAAAAAAGTTTGGGAGCCATTGGAAACGAGAGGGGGGGGGGGGGGTGTGTTTGACGCTTTGCGTGCGTTTTTACGAGTTGGTGTTCCTCAGTGGAACGTGTTGCTGCGTGTTTGACGGGAAAAGTTACAGGAAAGTTACGGATTGTACACGCTGCGTGCGCTGCGCGCCGCCGTGCGTGAGTTTTGATCATCACTATTTATAGAGCAGCCTGTTCCGAGCCAGGCTGCTCCCCAGAGCTGTGCGCGCGTGTGTGTGCGCGTGTGTTTCGCCAACTGCGCGCAACAAGTTGCAGACACTCCCAGCAAAGAGGTGAAGCCGCTGAAACGCAGAAACAACCAAAAGTGGCGTTTTTTTGCGCGCACGTCTTTGCGGATCATGCCCGTCTGAGGAGGACAAACCCCTCTCCTGAGCCCCACTTTTGGAGGGCGGAGGGAGGTGGAGGGGGGGTGGAGATCCGGAGAGGGAGTTCAGGAAAGAACGGGGCTGGATCCGTGGGAACAGGCCCGCCTGTGTCAGGCCTTTAATAAAACTGCTGTGCACAGCTGGAGTGAAGCATGTTCGGGACTGAAACATGGACATTGTTCACGCGCACTGAGCCATGCGTAGTGGGAAGTAGCGCCTTTTTAAATTACAGATCACCCACTTTTTAATTAACTGCATTCGTCGTTTTCCTATTTTTCATATAAAACTATTTGTGTTTAAAATCTATATTTTTAATAAATAAATCCTCACAATCGATTGTAACAGTTTGCTGCTCAGAAACAAAGACAGTTTAACTTTTGTAGCCTCTGCTTAATCCCAGCTGTTGACAGCTTTTAAATCTGGATCTGGGAAACCTTAATATCCGAACTGGTGGAGCTGGGGACCTCTCTAAACATTGCGCGCGTGCCTCCATGCGTGTGTGCGCGGATCAGGCTTGATGAAGGAAACCCGCTGCGTCACTGAGCCTCTCAGAGAAGGATGCTCCGGGCAGGAGGCAGGAGGAGAGCCGCCAGTGTTTGCACCGCAGCTGGAGACAAAGCTGGGCTCGTGACCTGAGCGTGCGTGGAGCGGGATGCGTGTTGATGTGACGCAAAGCAAAGCGCGGATCATGCTCAGCTCGAGAAACTGGAACGGCGCATCTTGTGTGAGTGAGCGTGCACGCTGCTACGTGCGTGGCCAGCCCGTCTGCGCTGTGCTCATCATTTATGCAGCGTGATCATTTCAACAAACACATTTTTTGTTGCAGCCCCCCCCCCCCCCCCACACACACACACACACACTCTGCCTGTTTTGTCACTCCATCGCCTCTTCCTCCTCCTCTGTGCCACGCGCGTCACCCGCGCACCGCTTCTGATTGTCAGAGCCAAGTCAGAAGACATTTTTGATTTTTGAACACCTCTGCCCCCCCCCCCCCCCCCGGTCTCCGCGTCACAGCAGTCAACATGGCCACCCTGCAACACCGGCAGCTGCTTATGCGTGGCACGGAGGTGAGCTGCGACGGCACGGTCACGGTTCGGATTGCCAATCACTCCACACGCAAGCACGAGACACCTCGGGGTGCCAACAGTGAGGCAGCAGCAGGAGGAGGAGGAGGAGGAGTAGGAGGAAGATGTGGAGCGGCCAATAAAGTGAACCCCACTCTCCACAAATACAGCATCTCCTCCAGCTGCAGCTCTGCAGACTCCAGACCAGCGGTGACCTCCACCTCCAGCGTGCAGAAGAAAGCCCCAGCGCTGTTTGAACGCTCTGCCGCTCAGTGCTGGGACCCCAAGTTTGACTCCCCCATCCTCGAGGAGGCGTGCCAAGAAAGGTGTTTTCCTCAGACCCAGCGGCGGTTCCGATACGTCCTGTTCTATCTGGCGGTGGTATCTGTACTCTGGTGCGTGTACTTCGGGGTCAACAGTGACCGCTGCTGCCCTGTGACCTTCCTTGCCCCCACTGCCTCCTTTCTGGCCTTACTTGCGCTCCTCCTCTTGTTCACCTTCACCAAGCCGTACACATGGCTGTACAATCAGACTTCCCTGTTCCTGATTGCCGTTACTTTTGCCATCACGTTGGCTCCACAGATACAAACTGCTGGCTACAACTGGGCTGCTGCTGGGAACGCCTCGTACATCTCTCTGAACAAAGACGTTCTGCCTCACATCCCATGCATCTCCCCTGTTGGCACCTTTTCTCTGTGCATGGAGGTTCTGTTGTTGCTATACAGTGTCCTCCATGTCCGTCTGTATGCCTCAGTGATGCTGGGGCTTCTGTATTCTATATTATTTGAGGCTATGGGATGGCTTCCATTGCTTCAGAAGAGCTATGACGTTACTGGACAGGTGTCAAGAATGGAAGAGACCCTCCTCTGGCTTGGACCTGGTAAATGTCTGCTCCACCTGTGTGCTCATGTCATTGGCATCCACCTGTTCATCATGTCAGAGGTGCGCTCCCGTAGCACCTTTCTCAAAGTGGGCCAGGCGATTATGCACGGGAAAGAGTTAGAGGTTGAGAAGGCCTTGAAGGAGCGTATGATCCACTCGGTCATGCCAAAACGAGTTGCAGATGAGCTGATGAAGCAGGGTGACGATGAGGGTGGCGGCGAGAACTCCGGCAAGAGATATTCCTCTGGCGCCTGCTCTACCTCGGCCGTTGCAGTAGCTGTCAGAGGAAGCGGTGGAGCGCTACAATCCCAAAGTGCCACGAGTTCCAAAAACAACAATCACATTCGCAAAAAGACCTCAATTCCCCGTGCACAGCTAATATTTAGGCCTTTTAATATGAAACGCATGGAGCCTGTTAGCATCCTCTTTGCAGACATCGTGGGCTTCACCAAAATGTCCGCCAATAAGTCCGCACCAGCTCTGGTGGGCCTCCTCAACGACCTGTTCGGACGTTTTGACAGCCTTTGTGAAGACACCCACTGTGAGAAGATCAGCACCCTGGGAGACTGTTACTACTGTGTGGCGGGCTGCCCTGAGCCCAGAACGGACCACGCCTACTGCTGCGTGGAGATGGGCTTGGGCATGATCCAGGCCATCGAGCAGTTCTGTCAGGAGACATGCGAGACCGTCAACATGCGTGTTGGCGTCCACACCGGCACCGTCCTCTGTGGGATCCTGGGAATGAAGCGCTTCAAGTTTGACGTGTGGTCAAATGATGTGAATCTGACGAACTTGATGGAGCAGCTGGGTGTGGCGGGGAAGGTCCACTTATCAGAAGCTACATCCCGGTTTCTGGACGACCGGTACCAGAGAGAGGATGGACAAGTGGCAGAGAGAGCGGGGCAGAGCGTTCTGGAGAAACTGAAGGGTAAGCACCTGTTTATCTCTAACTTCCATCTCAGTTCCCTGAATGAAAATAAAATCAGAGCTTAATTCTGTTTTTATTCGGACGTTCAACACACAAAAAGTGGCTTTCTTGTCTTTACCACAGGTTGTACAGGCCATTGATGGCTTTCAAACAAAAATGTGTATTCTAAAAGAACGATGGGCTTATCTAAAGAGAACAATACAGTTTATATTAGATGCAGACCTCTTGAACTTCATTAAAAACCAGAAATAAATCATAACAAAAGAAGGAGGTCAATGGGAAATAATAATAAGACACAATTTTATCAGTTGACAGTCACCTTGGGACTTGGTATTCAGGTGTAACTGGGGTCATTGCATGCTAGACAGGACTAAAAATGCTTTGTGACAAGGGGAATAAAGCTCAGAGAGGAGAGGTGTGGTTTGGTTGACATCAATTAGATGTCCTTCATCAGTTTACAGTATGAATAAATCTAATTGGGAACTGTCTAGATCAGAGGTCTGCAACCGTTTGAGCCATTTCTACTTTTCACTTACTGAACAAATAAAACAATAAAAAAAATGATACAATTTTGACCCACAGGCTTAAGAGGTTTTTGCAGATGTAGACCTTCTTTAGGTTTAATAGTGATGCTTTTAAATATAATTTTTAGGTTTAACAGCAAAAATTATAAAAATAATTTTCTCAAAATGAGCGATATTAATTACAATACAAATATTTAGCTATAATTAATCCCTTTTATCCTACAACAAACCTTCACTGACCTGCCAAAAAGTAGAACTTTGGATAATAATTCATAAAATGTGGCTAAGTATAACAAGTGATTTCACAGTAAATAACTTCTGCTGAGTTAATAATCAATAGAAATTAGACATTTTAAAAAGAATATAAAGTGGTATCATCAACATACAAGTTGATCAACATTATCAGTGTCCCTTCAAACCTTCTATGAATCTGTTTAAGTGACTTCGATGACCCATTTGGGCCATTCGTGGTCAAAATGGGTGATTGAAGCTCCACCCCCTTTTTAATAGGGGGTGGAGTTTATGAAAAATAAATGAGAATGAACTTTCAAAGCACAAGAAGTTGTTAAAAATGAGGAGGAGAAAAAATCACACTTAAAAAAAATTATAATTTTCTTAAATTCAGATTTTTCTGATCCGCAAGTCATTTCATGTAGACCAGGGGTCTGCAACCTGCGGCTCTGGGGCCACATCCGGCTCTTTGGTCCTTGGTCTGCGGCTCCTTGAAGCTTTGACCAAACATAATGCAAAATGTAAATTTGTTGATTTTTATACTCACAGTAAAGAGAAATGGAAAGCTTTAGCACTTTTCTGCAAATGTTTAAAATAAATTTGTAAAACGAGGAGAAAATAATGTTGATTAGCGTTAGCTACGTCATTTATCCAACTTCCTGCCTTACAGTAAGATATTTCTCTCAAATTCACCAGAAATTCTTATGATGATGGATGGATAGACCTAATTAAAGCTAAAGTAAATACAAAAGTTGTTTTTAAATTAAATTTTTAATATCACATTAACATATCCAACACAATGACCTTATATTTAGACACACTTTAAATTTATACTTTATTACTTTAAAGTGGGGTACATAATTATTTAAATTTTTCTAAAATTAAAAGGAAGACTCACATAAACGGTCTTTATGTGAGAACAGAGCTCTGGGTTAAAATATTTGGGGGTAAAATTGGTATGGAAAGTTTTTTCCCCCTTGTTTACATGAATGTGGTCTTTTCTTAAGCCCTAAAATGTAAAATTATTAATAAATGTTGAAATTCATTATATATTTTTGTTTATTTAAAGTCACCCCCACTGGCTGGAAACAAAAAAAAACCCTTCCTACGAATTTGAAGTGGCCCATGAGCCACCAGTTGATAATCACCGTTGCAGCAGATTTTGCGGCTCTAGACACATTTTGTTCAGTAAGTGAAAGGTAGAAAAGGCTCAAACGGTTGCAGACCTCTGAACTAGACAGTTCTGACCCACCTATGAAAATGTTTGGACACCCCTGGATTAGAAGTTTTATCCTGCAACCACGAGGAAACCATTGGAAATCCTCACCACTGACAAAATGCTCCCATTCTGGATAATAATATTAGAACTGTACTGTCCAGGCTCAGATACGGGACAGACAGAAAGCTGGTATATTAGATAAGGTTGTTTAGATGAAGACAAACAAGGTCAGCAGAAAAGATTATTCCCATCTTGGATTTGTGTTTGTGCAAGTTTTGGCTCCCACTCTTTGATTTTTGTTTTGTTGCTGTTGTTGGGTGGCATACGTGGAGATTGTGGTGGATAAGGGCAGGACTGACAGGATTTGCTGCTCTTAGGTTATTTCACCTTGTTACAGTGGATTAAACAGGTACTCAGCATATTATGGCCACCGCCTGTAGCAGAAGGTGCAGAGACCAGACTAGGGATAGACGTTTAGCTTGCCTTAAGTACTGAAGGCATTTACTGTAGCGCAAAGCAACATGTTGCCATCTATTAGTAAATTGTGTTTGATAATGGCTTTTAAATACGTATGCACATCCAATTAACTTGGAACTCATAAGATACAAATATGTAACCTAATATAATCATTCAGCACTGAAGTATGCTCAGAAAAATGATAAATATTACTTTATAAGAACATGCCTGTGAATATGGATGGACACATCCTCGATCAATGGAACTAATGTCTCCAGCAGGGAGGTCTAATCTTGGGTCACTTGTGAAAAGAAACTGTTCTATTGTCAGACCTTATGTCAGAGTGTATTCACTCTTGGCTCTAAACGGTGCCATCATTCTCTATTTCCAGACTGGCGAACAGCGACAGAGTGAAATATTGACAAGCAGCTTTTGTTGAGGGAGAGGAATGGGGAGATTGAGTGGCATCTAGTTTTTCCTCTGCAACGCAGAGCAGCAGCTTCTTGTTCAGAAACAACACGGTTTGCTTCTGTTCTGCAGATAATAAAGACAAATGAAGAATAAACACAGTTCTTCTTTATTGAAGGAAGATTATAAGAATTGTATAGCTATTGTTTTGTTATAGAAAGTGGTTAAAAGTATTTTTGTTTTATCCGTGAGTGTTTTTCTATTTGGTTCCCACCCATTATAAACTGCTCTTTTTGCCAGAGTTATAATTCTAACAAAATACTTGTTTTTCTGTTTAAGTTTGTTTTTGACAGTTGAATTTGTTGCCACTGAGCAATAGACACAATTTTAATGTGGAGTCTGCTTGCAGCGTAGTTTAGTATATATATATATATATATATATATATATATATATATATATGTATATATATATATTTATATATATATATATATATATATATAAAGGTAGGGACGCACGATATTATCGACATGGTATCGGTATCGGCCGATATTAGCGTTAAAGTTAAATATCGGACATCGACCATTTCATCAAAATAACTCACCGATATGAAAGGCGCTGTTTTTGTATGACAATGTATGGCAACACCAACGTGATGACATCATGCATGCCAACCTGATCTGATCACGGCGGAGAGGAAAATTCAAAATGTCGGCGGTGTGGAAGGTTTTTTTTTCGTTGAGGATGTCAGATTTCGAAGATTTTTGGACTACGTTGAGCCTCGCTACATCGTCCCCAGTCGGAGATACTTTTCCGACGTAGTCTTACCCGAGTTACAAGCCGTCATTTCCAACGTCTTTGAGAAGCTAATAGCCGATAGCACTTGGGTTTGGGTGAGTTTTACCACAGACATCAAGTGTTAGCCCCGTTAGCATGATTAGTCTTACAACACAATGAATAGACAAAAACTTTGAACTTAAAAAGGCTGTCCTTCATGCACAAGAGTGCAGAGGATCCCACACTGCAGCTATAGGAACCTGGAACAAGCCTCCACAAGTTAGACAGCATCGCAGGTGACTAAGGCTAATAAATAACATTTAATACTTTTCATTTAATATAAGTTAAAGTGCTATGTATATGGCTGTTACTGAATACACGTATGTCACCAGCTCTTACAGCCGTTACACAATTTTTGTAGCAATAAACCTAAATAAGAAGACTATGTTCTGACAAAGGAAATATATATGAAAATGAGTTCTCGTGGCTCAATGAGACTAACCTGGATAAATAAAGGCTAAATGAAAAAAAAATAAAATAAAATATTGATATTGGTTATTGGCCAAATAAGTTTTAGCATATCAAATATCGGCCAAAAATCCAATATCGTGCATCCCTATTTTAAGGCTTAATAAACCCTTCCCACACTCTTACAATGTTCTAAACCAGGGCTATTCACCTGGCGGCCCGGGGGATAAATCAGGCCCAGGGGTGAACCGAGTTCATCCCACCCACCAGTGGGTTCATTTTTAAATAAAACTAATTTTTAAACCATAAACCAAACTTACTTACTGACAATAACTGCTGGATGTCCGGGCCCTGAGCTCTTGGCTTTCAGTAACTGTGACCCCCTGAGCAATTTAATTGAATATCCCTGTTCTAAACTCTTTTAACAACATACGTATATGTACTGTACAATACTGCAAATTTTTTACACACCAGCTCTGCAGACCAGCAGCTCTGTTCCAGTCCAGCTCGGTTCCGGTTCTGCAGACCCACCCTGCAGCGACGAAGCCCACCGCCCCGTCCAGGTTGATGTGCACGTGAATAATTGAGCTTCAGGATGATTTGTGACTTTCCTGCCAGCTCTGTGAGCTTAATAGATGGCATAGATTTGCGTTGCGGAACTTTCCCTCCATTTCGGTAGAAAGCAGCGGCCAGAAGCACTGTTGGGTTCTGGGTAGTGTAGTTCTTTTGACTGGCTTTACAATATAGGCTTATTGAAAGAAAACTACAAAATGGCAGCGCCTGTCCGAAGTATTTTTTTTCCCGTTAACTTACGTCCCAATCACATGAGTAAATATTAAATTTGACATTCGTTGAAAAACCGCGAAAGAGCAAGTCCTCGAAAGTCGAACCGCAAAGTAGCGAGGGACTACTGTATATA